TATAGGCCTGAAACACTGTTGTCTGTTTACCTTGCAATGATAAATTTAATTCGTTAAGTTTTTGAAAGATATCCGCCATAAAAGACAATCGGAACAACCAAGTTTTATCATACAAACGGTCCTTCAAATTAAAAGAAGTATCTGCTGAAAGAAACATTTGTAACTCGGCTCTAAGTTCAAATAGCCTTGTTAAAGTTTTTCCCCGAGACAGCCATCGCACTTCTGTATGGAGCAGCAGTGTTTTATGTTTGCTGCCATAATCTTCACACAATAATGAGAACAATCGGGATTGTAGTGGTCGTGATTTGATAAAATTAATTATTTTTACCGCTTCATCCATAACTAATTTTAGATTAGACGGCATTTGCTTCATCGCAAGTGCTTGTCTATGCAGAATACAATGACTGGAACTACAATTAGGCGCTTTATTTTTCATTCGTGACACTGCTCCTGCTGTTTTACCTGTCATCGCCTTGGCCCCATCTGTACAAATGTCAATGCAATTGTTCCAACTGAGATTATGTTCTTCAAAAAATATATTTATTTTATTAAAAATTTCTTCCCCGGTAGTGTTTGTAAGCAGCGATGAACACATAAGCATGTCTTCTTCAAAAGAACTTTTATATGGATATCTCACAATAACCAGCAGGATAGCCAAACCAGCGACATCAGTCGACTCGTCCATTTGCAAAGCGAATCGTGTATTTTGTAGACGTGTAACTAGTTCTTGTTTGACGTAGCTTGCCAGATCATGGATTCGTCGTGAAACAGTATCGTTTGATAGCGGAACAGTAGAAAGATGCTTTGCAGATTTTTCATCAAGCATACATTTTGTTATGTCTAATACACATGGTTTTATTAATTTCTCAGCGATAGTGTGCGCTTCACCTGCTTGTGCAATGCGATAGCTAACTAAGTATGATGCCTCCGTGGCCTTTTCGTTGGTAGTTTGTGTTACATGCATCATATTTTTTTGACTTTCTAATAACTGATCTTTTTTGCGAACAAAAAATTCTTTATTCTTGTCTTTAGTCTCGGGGTGTACGGTTTCTAAATGTCGACGCAATTTGGCAGGTGCCATGGAACTATTAGGAAGCAGTTTACTACAGAGCATGCAGAGAGGTGAGCCGTTGGAATCAACAAATCCGAAACTGATATAAGATTCATCATACTTCCTTTTTTTCGTCTTTGAAACCGTCGAGCTTGACGTCGTGGCACTCGTGGCATCATCTTCTGGATCGGTGATTGCTAAATTCTCCGCGCGCATTGCTTTTGAACATTCAGCGTCATTAGAAGATGTTGTTGGAACACGTTTAACACCTTTAAGCCAACGTTCCATTCTTCTTTATTTATAATGTTACAAGTCAGGATAGTGGGGTTTAAATAATGCACAATCGTTACTGCGTATAAGAGACTAAATTTAGAACCTACAGGGAAGAAATGTATAAAACTGAGACAACAGAATACAGCAGGCAGTAAAACAATGAACACCAGTTTCTCGCTAGCGAGCTTGTAAGTAGGTAGTAACTTATCGCTCCGAACGCTAATCATCAACTGACGACGCCAACGCGCGATCGCCGCTTTTATACTTAGTCCTAGACTCGATCTCAAATATTCTCGAAAATACTCGAGTCGGCACCTTTGATAAACAAAAAGCAAAAATAAAAACAGAAATTTAAAAATAGCGTTGTAAACAATATCGACTTTATCCTTTGAAGTTAGAGACGAAAGTCGCTAGTTGACAACTATAGCGTCTAATTCAGAGGCGGCTTTTATCAAAGAGACTGAGCGCTTACAAGTATACCTACCCGCTCGTTTTAAGTTTGCCGCTGGCGATAGGTATGAGTGTATGACGTTCGAAATTTTTTATTTAATTGTAACAATAAAAATTGTGTACGTTAGATATTTGGGTAAAACTATGACACATTATAAGTTTTGTTGTCACGTGGGGGAGGGTACGCGCATTCCACAGACCGGCAAACTTAGAGCGAACGCGTTGTACAAGTATAAAATTGTTGAGACCAAACTTATGAGATATTGTACCAGCTAATGTAACACAAGCTTATACAAATACAAATAAATAAATAAATAACATTCATAGCGTTTTGTCTCCGCGCGGCCGCGGAGTCCGCACAGCCGCGGAGCGACCAGAGAGAGGTGTTTTGATTTTTTTATTTCTAAATTCTTGCGGAACCCCGACAGAGGTATCACGGAACCCTAGGGTTCCGCGGAACACACTTAGAGTATAGCTGCTCTAGAGGCACTCGCCAATTCTCGACTTGAGGTCCCCTTAGGATCTCGCCGTCCCCAAACCCTGGAACGCTGTAAAGGTCATCTGGGTCCAACAGCACACACAATCAAAAATAAAATCTACAAAACAGCAAGGTAAACTTTTGAATAAAGTGACTTTTTTAAGGTGACACTGATTCTGAAAAATAAATTTACAAACAATGCAACCGATATATAATAATATATAGAAGGTAATTACAGACGTACTTATTTAAATAATGACACCAACAACACAAATGTGTAATGAGAGTCAAGTTCAATATTCATTATCAACTAGCGGCCCGCCCTCGCTTCGCTTCGGCACGGCTTCGGTGTAGAGCTGAAGTGTAGACTACAGTTTTTGTTCTCAGGCTTGTATTATACACAATGATATTCATCTATGAGTCTTCATATATCTGCATGCAAAGTCTCAGGCCGACCGGTTTAAAATTGACAAAGTTTCATTCCCTATTTTATCCCCTTGGGGGTAGAATTGATCAAAATCCTTACGTCGGATGCCTACGGCATAAAATCTACCTGCATGCCAAATTTCAGCCCGATCCGTCCAGTGCTTTGGGCTGTGCGTTGATAGATCACTATGTCAGTCAGTCAGTCACCTTTGAGTTTTATATATAAAGATAGATATACAATAGAAGTGAGATTTATTTGTAACAACTTATAATATTTGATAACTTTTTAAAATAATATTTCTTCTTATTACTAAGGATAATAAATATTAAACCTAAGATCTGACTTAGCTAGTTCTTAAATATAAATTATTATTTAATACTCGATGGCGCAGGTGGCTAGCGCGTTCGACTGCGATCGTTGAAGTTAAGCAACTTTCGCAATGGTCGGTCATTGGATAGATGACCAAAAATATTCTATCTCGAGTTCCTCCGTGCTTCGGAAGGCACGTTAAGCCGTTGGTACCGGCTGCATCTGCAGTCGTTAGCACCCGCCAATCCGCACTGGGCCCGCGTGGTTGGTCAAGCCCAATCTCCCTATTCCAACCATAGGGAAGGCCTGTGCCCCAGCAGTGGGGACATTAATAGGCTGATGATGATGATGACGATGATGACCTACTAAAACAGTCATTTGTTCGAAAGTTTCTACCAGCAAGCCAAATATTTGAACGAATGAAAAAAGCGGCCAAGTGTGTGTCGGACTCGCTCTTAAAGGGTTCTGTAGCAACAAGTAACATTATATAAATCATCTTGTGGTTCGTTGTAACTTTGATCGATGTTTTAATAATAGTGTATTTTTTAAGGTAAATTGCGGTTTATGATTTATGACGTATAAAAAAAAACTACTTACTAGATCTCGTTTAAACCAATTTTCGGTAGATGTTTATATGGTAATGTTCATAATATGTTTTATAGGTCATTCTCTTATTTTAAAGTTACAGGGGGAACATACATTTAACCACTTTGGAAGTGTCTCTCGCGCAAACTATTCAGTTTAGAAAAAAAAATAGGAACCTTCATATCATTTCTGAAGACATATCCAATGATACCCCACACGTATGGGTTTGATGAAAAAATTTTTTTCGAGTTTCAGTTCTAAGAAGGGACCCCTAACATTTATTGGTTTTTTTCTATTTTTCTGTGAGATTTTCACAGAAAATGCGGTTCACAAAAAACATCTAATTACCAAGTTTCAAGAGTATTGTTCTTATAGCTTCGGAAAAAAGTGGCTGTGACATACGGACGAACAGACAGACATGACGAATCCATAAGGGTTCCGTTTTATGCCATTTGACTACGGAACCCTAAAAATGTACTTGCAGCTTTAGAACTTGCGAAGGCTATAATATAATTTGTATATGAAATCTATCTAGTCAAGTCAGATCTATACTATCGTAAGTTATAACAAGAAATGTTATTTTAAGTTGGTATAAAACATTTAATGTTGTTTTAAACACAGCTCGCATAGCACTAGAGTATGGGTGTGTTTTTGAAAATCTCGTATTTAAAATGTTCTAACACTGTATCATAGTGATAAGTGAGGTGTGATGGATAATAAACAAAAAATCAGGATTTGCCTCTCGGTGATCTCTGAACCAGACATTGAAGAAGCGAAAAATTTGTTGTTTGTTTTTGTAACGGCCACCCGACGAAAGATGTCGCGTTAAAAGGATGGAAAATGCAAAGGGATCTGGGCGGCATAATTAGTTTAATAAAGGTAGTAGATCCAGATTGCAATCCTATATTTGTTGCCAGAGAGCTACAATAATTTCCTCCAGCATCCTTCGACCACGTTGATGTGAAAACGTTATCGCTTCCCTTTATAAATAAGCGACACCGAGCGATGACAAGGCAAGACAATTATGCTTTCTATACGTTGATATTGGGCTTATTGGCTTTCGCTTGGCTAACATGTATAGGCGGTTTTATTGGTGGAATAATGACCACAGGTGGTGTGGATTGATGCGTGCCAATGACTGAAGAATGCAACAGGGACCAACGGCTTAATGTGCCTTCCGAAGCACCAAGGATCTCCAGATAACTTTTTTCCCGACATTTCTCAATACACAACTATAACAATATTATCCCAGCAAAAACAGTTATTTGCACCTGCATTGTTGTGCTGGAATTGAGTTGGTGCAGCGAGCTGCACTCCAGTTCTTCAGTACACCCAAAACAAAATTGCTAATTTACCTACCACTGTTTACTCTTGCACAAAAAAACATAAAATAGTTTATTAATAAAAAGCATAAAAAAGTTCATTAATTAAAAACATAAAAAATGTGTATTCATAAAAAAACATAAAAAAGTTATAAAAAACTAATCAATCAAAAGTCTTCGACAGTTTATCTACGATTATGCGCGTCCTTTCAGAGAGATACTGGTCCACTTTGCTAAGAACTTTGACAACGTGCAACAGTTTTTGTACGCCCTTCTTGAATTTTTCCATTCTCTCTGCACTGGTTTCTTCATCTGGTGACGCTCTGGCCGCAAAAACCTTTGGCGAACGAAACGAACCGAGCTTGGGCGTTAAAAGTGTTTTTTCGTGGAAGCTCAGCGTCGGCACTTTCAGTTTTGGGATACGCAATCTTGGTGGCCTTAAATTCGGCAATTTCGGAATGAATCCAGCCGGAGGCGCCACTGAAATCGGAAACAGGGTGTCACCAAAGCCCTCCTGATCATCTCTATCTTCAAGGAGTATGAAGCGTCCATCTTCGACCGCTTTGGGTATAGCACTGTTAATAAGACTGCAGAAGGAGCGCATATCCAAATCGCTGTGGACGTTCTTTGCTCTCAAGTTGGGGCCGTAGCTTACTGCTGGAGTGTCCTGAAATACAAACGTTAAACTTTAGTCCTTACTAGCTTTCTTAATATATAAAGCTTAAGACTTCCCCGGTGAGGAAGCAACTAATAGTCCAGAAAACACGTTGAAAAACGTGAAAAATAGAGATAAATCTTCTAAAAATATGGGCAATAGCTCATTGGATTCGGAATGACCTCTAGAAAAAGGAGTTTTGAGGATTTTACTGCACGTAATAAATTGCAATTGTTATTAACAAAATAAGATATAAATAGAGGTTTTTAGTTTTTTTGCAAATAACGCATAAACTATTAATATTTAAGATATTTGGAAAAAAGGTCCTTAAAAACCTAAGTCCTCAAGGAGGAAATTTCCGAAAAAAGTTCCAGCTCCCGGAGCTCTACCTATATTAGTAATAATTTTAATTTAACGCTGAAAATAAGGCTCCGCGCAGCCATTACGGCATGGGTGCACTGCCGCTAAAGACAGCGTACCACATAAAATATATTTTTTATAGTAACAAATATTAGTTTAAAAATTAGCCGGCATCGGCAGTGTGAACAGTCAGCGACCAACTATTAATATATGCATCTCTTTTGTTTACACGGAATTTATTGCTATTCTCCGTTTCTTGAGCGAGAAGAAGTCAATTTTGCCGCCACAATTTTTTGCCGCCCCGGGCAAATGCCCGGCTCGCCCCCCTTGGATCAGGCCCTGGATGTTAAGTGCTGTAACGTCCATTGCGTTACAGCCTCCTTGTTTGGGTAAACTCATTGTTCATGTAATGCCTACGGCTGGCAGTCATATTAAAAAGGTAATGTCATGATTTTTAAAGATTTGGATTCCAAGAGATTCCAAGAGATAGACTTCAGGCACCAAACCATACGTTGATAGATTAAGCTCAATTATTATATTCGCTTGATTTCAAATAAACTAACATATAAAATCTAATTAGTTTTCATTTATAAAGTTACGCTCCCAGGGCCTACCCCTTCAGGGTAGATCGCCGCATGGTGGAGGCGTTACTAAAGGATCTGTTACGAGTGCAAAATGAAGTAAAGGAGATTCAATCTTTATATGTAACGCAAAGAGAACTCGGTGATTTTAAGGAGAATCTATTATCACAAATCAGAAATGACTCCGTAGTGCCTCTGCCTGCCTCTGTATGTAAAGTGAACATAAGAAGAGGGGGATGGGTGGAGGACAGCGGCCCTATTGGGCTTTCACACATTCCAAACTCCTTGATAAATGAAAGTTTTAATATTGTCAGTGATGATAGTGATACAAACAACTTAAATCAGTATCGTGATATAAAGAGGGTAGAATACGAAAATAACGATAACGGTCGACAACAATTATCGAGTGAAACAGACTATACAAATGGCGCGGCTGTGACTGAATCTCGTTCGGCCGCTAGACAACTGGTTTCGGTGACGTCACCACAGATACATAATATGAACTCCGATAGTGCTTGCGGTGCGTTTGGTCGCGGCATTGCGCAGACAGCTAATAAGCAAGAAATGCAACCAATAAATAAGCTGGAATCTAGAGACACTGATGAAGGGTGGCAACAGGTGTCATATAGACGAAAGCATAAGCCTAATTATTGTTATTTGGGCTCTGCGGGCACTAATCACGATAGTGAAGGAAGATTTAAGGCTGCCGAGAGAATGGTACCCATTTTTATAACGAAAGTCCATAAAGATACGAATGATAAGGATATAATTGACTACGTTTACAAACAGACGCAAGAAATGATTACCCTGGAGAAAATATCTTTTAAGCAGGAAAGAGGATACGATGCTTATAAATTTTTTGTTAAAGATAATAAAGTATCGGTGTTTTTGAATAACAAGCTGTGGCCCGAAGGCATAATATTTCGGAGATTTGTGAACTACAAGCGAAAGTTCTCTGAGAGTATTGGCGAAAAGCATTCGGCTGTAATTCAAAATAAATAATGGTGCATGACACATTATGTAATTTTGTCACTTTTAATTGCAAAAGTGTGAAACGTTCCGTTGACTTCATAAGGGAACTATGTCTAACTTCTGATATAATCGCGTTACAAGAGATGTGGCTATTACCGAATGATATTGATTTTCTGGCAAGTATTAGTGACGAGTTTGGATATACGGGTACCTCTGCAGTAGATACAGCAGCGGGCATACTACGCGGCCGTCCCTATGGTGGTGTGGCGCTTCTTTGGAGAAAGAGTGTCTTTCAGAACGTGACAACGATACAGTGTGATAACCCGCGAGTGTGTTTAATAAAAGTGTCAATGGGTAGTAGGTCATTTATGGTGTTCAGTGTTTACATGCCTACGGATACTGCAGTGAACTTGATGGATTATACGGATTGTCTTAGTCTGGTAAGCGCAATCACTACCAATGAAACTGTAGATTCGATTTATGTATTTGGCGATTATAATGCGCATCCAAATGAACCTTTTTATCGCGAGTTGGAATCTTTTTGTTCTGAGATGGAATGGAACTGTGCAGATATTGACTTTTTAAATATAAATTCAAACACCTATACTTTTATTAGTGAAGCTAACGGTTCCAAGCGTTGGCTTGACCACTGCGTGACTACGAAGTCTGCTATGCAGACTATTGCTAATGTCTATGTAAAATATGATGTCGTGTGGTCAGATCACTTCCCGCTAATCGTACAATGTCAATTAGATTGCATAAAACCTACTACACCCTATGATGTTAATCAATCGTGTACTAAGATACGTTGGGGGGAGCGTCAGTCCGAGCAAATTGATTTGTATAATAAATTAGCTCAGGAAAATTTAAGAAACATTGATTTTCCTTCTGAGTTAAGTGCATGCTCTGACTTTTCTTGTAATATTTTATCTCACGGATGTATTATTGATAAGTTATACGGCGAAATAGTGTATGCTTTGTCTAACGCAGCCGTTAGTAGTTATAGTTGCAACTTTAAGGTTAAAAAGAGAAAAGTGATTGGTTGGAATAAACACGTAAGTGCAGCGCATATTGATGCAAGGGCAAAGTTTAAAGTATGGGTCAGTTATGGTAAACCTAGCTCCGGTCTGGTGTGGAGTGAGATGCAAGAAAGTCGTAAAATTTTTAAGTCTCGATTGAAATGGTGTCAGGACAATAGAGAGCAAATTAAAATGGACATACTTGCATCACACCACACCACGAAGGATTTTGGTAATTTTTGGAAAGCCACTAATAAATTGAATAATAGGCCTGGCGTTCCTGTGAGTGTAAATGGTGTTAGTGACAGAAAATGTATAGCAAACATGTTCAAAGAACATTTTATTGTAAAATCGCCTTTGGGGCCATCAGTGTCTTTATGCAACGGGGGTTGTCAAGGCCGGGAGTTAAGTACCCGAATTACAGCCAAGGATGTTAGAAAAGTTATTAAATCTATGTCTCGAGGAAAATCACCCGGTCATGATGACTTAAGTATTGAACATTTAAAGTACGCGGGTACTCATCTTGCCAGAGTTCTAGCGATGTTCTACAGTTTGTGTTTGGGGCACTCTTATCTACCAGCAGATATGCTGAAGACGGTGGTGGCACCAATAGTGAAGTGTAAGACTGGGGACATAAGTGACAAGGACAATTATCGTCCTATTTCGCTGGCGACTATCGTATCAAAAGTGCTTGACGGTCTGCTGAATACTCAACTACAAAAACACATATCGATTCATGATAACCAGTTTGGCTTTAAGAAGGGTCTTTCTACCGAGACTGCCATTTTGAGTTTGAAGCAGACCGTGAAGTATTACACGGATCGTAATACACCCGTGTATGCTTGCTTCCTCGATCTCTCGAAAGCATTCGACCTGGTAAGCTATGATATATTGTGGAAAAAACTTGAGAGCACTTCAATGCCACATGAACTTGTACAAATCTTTAAGTTTTGGTACTTGCATCAGGTCAATGTAGTTCGGTGGTCGGGAGAGTACTCTGAACAGTACAGGTTGGAGTGTGGAGTGAGGCAGGGTGGGCTGACCTCGCCAACGCTATTCAACCTTTATGTGAACGCACTGATTGGGGAGCTCAGTGGCACACACGTAGGTTGCCACATACAAGACGTTTGCCTGAATAATATAAGTTATGCAGATGATATGGTGCTGCTGAGTGCTTCAGTTTGTGGGTTGTCGAAGTTACTTGCCATATGTGAGCGGTATGCCCTTAGTCACGGCTTATTATACAACGCAAAGAAAAGTGAATGCGTGGTCTTTCGGGCCAGAGGGAAGTGTCCAGAGAATATCCCACCCATAAAACTGAACAGTACATCATTAAGAATGGTGGATCAATTTAAATATCTTGGACATTGGGTGACCTCTGACCTGAGGGATGATACTGATATTGAGAGGGAACGCAGGGCACTGGCAGTCAGAGCCAATATGATTGCTCGTAGGTTTGCTTGTTGTTCGAGGGGTGTCAAAATAACTCTCTTTAGAGCATTTTGTACGTCCTTCTACACGAGCAGCCTATGGATTAACTACACCAAGAGACAGTATAGTGCTCTGCGTGTCCAATTCAATAATGCGTTTAGGGTGCTGTTAGGGCTGGCCCGTTTTTGCAGTGCGTCAGGGATGTTTGCACAATACGGCATAGATTGTTTTTACACAACGATTCGGAAGCGGTGTACGTCCCTGGTGCGAAGGGTGCGAACAAGCCAGAACAGGATCCTGCAACTATTTTCTGAGCGTTTTGACTGTCAGTACATGAATTATTGATGCATGATACATGTATTGACTTATTAACTTATTTAAGGTGATTGATTTGAATGAAATAAATAATTTAACTTAAGATTTTAATTCATATTTAATTTTATATATAATAACTTGACATTATTATAATAATATTATTACTTATTTCATTCTATCAATTATATGTTTTTTATGATTCAAATAATTTGTATTCTAAATAATTCTAAACAATCTGTATAAGTCTTTGTTACTTGAATAAATAAATTTATTATTATTATTATTATGTTACAGTACTTTAGGCATTGTCCTAATACAACGCGATAACGCGATCATCGCGCGTTTATACGATGCGACCATCGCGTGATCGCGAACTGGGTGTCCTAATAGAACGCGAATACGGAACGGGTTAGCCCTGCCCCTCTCCTCGCGTCCTATCGACGCGACGCGATCATCGTGCGAACTTCAGTTAGGACACCTATTCATCATTAATAGGTTTGATTGCGCGTTCGCGCCAACTAAGATCGCGCGAATAGATTTTTAAACATTTTAGTCGCGCGAATGCATCTCGCGATCGCCTATTAGGATACCTATTCTAGATCAATATGTTTGATCGTCGACTCGTACGATGATCGCATCGCTCATTCGCGTTATCGCGTTGTATTAGGACAATTCCTTAGCCTGTCGTGTTGTGTACACATTCTTGTGGAGTTGCAGCCTATAGTTGTTTACCAATTTGCTGTCTCGTTTATATTTTCAAGGTATCTGTACCCCTAGCACGAACCATTATCCAATTCGAATAGTTTGCGAGTGCTAAATGTCAATGTCAAATTTTGTATGAAAACTTGAACAGCAGGGCAACAAAGTAAGTAACGAGAACTAAAAATCAGTACAGATTTGACAATGACATTTCGCGGTCGCTAACTATTCGAATTCGATAATGGTTCGTGCTAGGGGTACTGTTGTAACTCTGTTTTGTGTACCGATAATATAAATTAATAAATTAACTAAAGATTGTCCAAATATGAACAGCAAGCAAACGGCCTTTTATTGTTAATTGGCATAATTTAACATAATGTGTTGATTGTATTGAACTGCCGATCAAAGTCAAGCGTAAGCAAAAACGATACAATACGAAAAAATACTTATTATAAGCATCTGTGACGTCAATGAAATATTAGTTACTGATTGAGTTTACTGAAACCTAGACATTAAAGTTATATTTTTTTAAGCATTCAACTGCTAGAATTTTAACTCTTAAGAAAATGCCTTGAGGCTTCAGAAATTACTAGATAAAATTCGACACGGCCGACGGTAGCATAATGTTCAGTGCATTCAGCCGGATAGCGAAGGGTCCTGGTTCGAGTCCCGTCTGCGGCCTGGTCCGCTTGGATTTTTTTCTAGTAAATTTTTCGCTAGACAATATTTCAACAAAATTGTGCGTTTTCAATATAAGGCTAATAAACTCCTTTATTTCTGGCATTTGGAAGAAGCTATGTTCATCTTTCTGGTTTGAGTAACAAAAAAATAATCACGTTAATGGTTTTTAGGGTTCTGTACCTCAAAAAGAACAAAGGAAACCCTTATAAGATCACTTGTTGCCCGTCCATTCGTCTGTCTGTCTGTCAATACCCTATATCTCGTTCATGTGTGGAGGTATCGCGTCGAAAACCTTCTCTAGTTTACGGTCCGTTGAAGTGAAAAAATCACACTTCTAAGTTAACGTATAAAAAGATACGGCCTTTTATGTTGCGTACCTACAAACTTGTACGGAACCCTCGGTGGGCAAGTCCAAGTTGCACTTGTTTGGTTTTTTTTTAATTCATACGATTTGAATTTTGAACGATCATATCTGTGGTTCTTTAGGTTAGCTTTTTTTTGAGTGTGTATGCTGTTGGTCGCAGATGACCTTTACAGCGTCACCGGGTTTGGGGACGGCGAGATCCTAAGGGGACCTCAAGCCGAGAATTGGCGAGTGCCTCTAGAGGTATTCCAGGCGGATGGCATCTCCCTACGGGGGGAGTCTTCTCTCCGTCTGGAGCCTCTAGACCACTCGAACATGAGGGGTGGTTGGCTTATTTATGCATTATGCTCTTAATAAAGGTTTTATTTGGCTTATTAAAGACGGCCGAATTTTATATGCAACTTACTCTTTTATCAGCCGAGCAATCTATAGTGACTCGCATAGGAGGCGGCGCTCTCACACTTTCACATATCATCTGAAATACACACGTTAACATTAAAACACTGCAAAAGTCCAGCTTAAAAAAAACTTTTTCTAATTTCTTTTTTTTTCCCAGCGTTGTCATACTAACCATTATTAACAAAAGAGCCACGTATCGAGGCATTTCAAATCACATTTTATTCCGTCTTAAACCGACTGCGTGTGGGCACGTATTAAAATCGATACTCACCACTTAATTATCGACTCAGCAAAACCGACTCACAGTAACTGTCAATCCAAGGTTATTCATAACAATCGAAGCATCAATCGAATACCGAGACACATCTTATCGATAAAACGTGCCACACAAATTGATTCGAAAAAAGAACTTTTGTTTAAAAATCTCCACATCGCGTCTCAGTTGTATTTTATCTATGGTTGCCTGTGAAAAGAGTTTTGCAATCGGCAGTGTAAAATACTGGTTGAGATAATGCAATGGTTAGTGAACACTTGCTTTGCGGGTGGCTTAGTGTTGTATCTATGTGCGAGAGTTTATTTTGAGAATGAACTCAAAATGGCCGCTGGTGTGGGTGTTAGTGGTTGCGGTTGCCGTTGCTGTAGAGGTTTGCATGCAATGATATTCTTTGTTTTTTTTTAAATACTTCCTGCTTGTGATTTGTATAATAGAGGTAGGGAACAGCGGATATTCCACTCGAATTCGAGCGCCACTACCTCTGCCTTCCGCTCCTTGCTCCCGCTTAACGCAGCGTACGACCTTACAGAAGATCATCACAGTAAGTAAACATAACTTATATTGTGTTTCCTTCAAAACTGACACATTGATACTTTTCTTAAGCATTGAATTTGATGACCTCCGTGGCCGAGTGGTTTGTACGCCGGATTTCGCCTAAGGTGTCGCCTACTTGAGAGGTCCCGGGTTCGAATCCAGGTGGGGACAGATGTTTGTGTGATGAAACGAACATTTGTACTCAAGTCATGTTTAATATATAAATATACTTATATATGTACAATATATGTATCTATCCGTTAACCTTTTAGCATTCCATAACACAAGCCTTACAGTGCTAACTTTGGGGCTAGGCTAATGAGTGTGAGTGTTGGAAATACTTATATTTATCTATTAAAGGAGATCACGAAAAGAGGTAAATTTCGACATTTGACTCTTTTCGTATTCTTTACGCACGCTTGCCTTGGGGGGCAAGCTGGCGAATGTGTTACGTGTTACAAAAAGTGTGTTCGGGCGAGGCGAACGGGAGTTGAGTGGGGGATATAAGCAAGAGAAAGCAGTGCGAGCGCATATTTTCTTTCTCTCTTTCTCTCAAAATAAAATATCTATTCTCTTGAAATATATACATATTTGAGGGAACACCGTGGACAGTAGCTTATTTCGTAACTTTCTTGTGCGTGGAAGATAAGATCTCCGTCAATGACGAATTTTAAAATGGCACAGGGAGTCCCCGCCCCAACTTTCCTTGGCACCAGCCGCCAATAGAGCGCACTAAAGTAGTCTCTCTCACTCTCAGGCATAAAGCAGATTACTCTCTCCCTCTTCAGCCTTCACGTGTCAACGCTGTCTGCAACTGTCAAAAATGTTTTAATAAATAAATTTAATATTTTACATTAATTTCTTACGAATGAAATGACACTTTTTTCTTGTCTCCTAATAGTTCCCGTGTAATTTGTTTACTATCTATTTATCTATCTAAGCACACACATAGGGCTTTTTGTCTGGAAAAACGAAAAATATTATTTCACACGCTACAAATCATCGTTGCTCGCTTCTTGTGGCCCGCACCGGCCACTTAATGCGCCGATACACAACGCCGCCACACGTCACTTGCGGGATTCCCCACCCCTCTCTCCATTAGTCGGCCGCTGTCGCGCGCTTCAGCCACTTTAGTAGCCGCTTCTAGCTTCTAGTGGCGGCGTTTGTGGTTGCGGCGTGTGGCTACGGTTGCCAGATTGACTGGACTTGGCTGGATTGTCCAGCTATTTCACACGTTGTCCAGTGTCCCGGTTTTAGGCAAAATGTCCAGCTAAAATGAAGCTGAAAATTAAAAACCACCAGTATTAGTGGTTTTTCCACCGAGAGGCGAAACTGGCTCCGCTGCGGCCTCTTGCTATCTATGCCCGGGATTGAATTCAATAATTCGATTGAACTTTGACGAAACTTGTACTAAATTTAAATCTTTTCTAAATACAGATAAAGGTTCTAAAATGATAAACGCGGCTAAAGGAAATGCTAAATATATGTGGCAAAAAGGTATTTCATATTAATTTTGTTGAATTAAGGTTCCTCTGTTTTGTAATAATAAGATTTTTTTATAGTCATGCTGATTTTTTTTGTCCAGCCAAATATCTTAATGTCCAGATATTTTATAATATTGTCCAGAAATTATGATTTCTCAATCTGGTAACCCTACGTGTGGCCCGTGTGCGGCGACACTAAATGCAAGTCGACCAATTACCTGACTATCGTATTGCCAAATTAGAAGCATTTATGACGTATCTATAATTATAAAACATAATAGATCTCTGTAAACAAATCACCGATACTTCGCATTGTCAGTGCGTATACAACGCAGTCTCTTTGAAATGTATTAAATTTTTCTTCTATCCTCAACTGTAACGAAAAGCCTAAAACAATAGATACAATAATGTTATTTTTGTTTGTATCCAGGGAAGCCTACTCCTGCGTCACTCGCTGCTGCGCCCGCGCAACTCTAACGAATGCTTCTCGTGCCGCGCTTCAGATCGGCCAGTGGCGTATCCTCTCATCAGCTTCTTCGGAAAGGTCAAGGATGTGTTTGTGAAGATGTTCAAAGAGGTCGTCGCCTCCGCTAAAGAACACAAGTTAGATTCAAAGTGATTTGAGAAAACACACACACAAGAAAGTACTTTGTTCTGCAGTAAGTTACTCTTTTGTAAGAACAAACTCACTTTTCACTTCGGAATTCGCGGTGTGATTTAATATTGGAACACGAATTTCATATAAATTCTAAATCATACCGGTGAAGTCCGAGGTATAAAGCGAGTTTGTTTTTACAGAATAGTACCACTGATTGATGGGGTGATTGATCAATATTTATTGAATATACGATGGTGACTGTTTATTTTTAATGCTCAATTTTCGTTGGTAGTAACTTGCGAAATTGAATTGAAGTAATTTAGTAATATGCAAAAATGTGCTAGATATTTATTTACTTATGATAATATGTTCAAATCAACTAAATGTTGTTTAATACATTTCTACAATTTTAATAAAACATACTTGATAATTTTGTGATGATTTGTTTTTTTTGACTGCTGCCTATTCCTTAATTTTGATACTCTGAAAAGTTCATTGAAAGAAAATATAGTATGAAACATTCTTTAACCATCCCTTAGTAAGAGACTAGTCTTCTCCTGGTGTTGAGAACTTACAACTGTGACCTTGGGGCCTTACAATATATATTAATGTTTAAGGGCCTAACTACAGTGCAATAACATTTTTGTTCCATCATATTACTAATTTTAGTGGAATCAGTGCGAATTGGGTGCTAACGACTATAAATGCAGAGAGCAGCATTTATAGTCGTTAGCGCCCAATTCAGAGCAGCATAAGACCTAATTTCTCAACGTGCCTTCCGAAACAAGGAGGACGAGATAATGAACTTTGGCCACTCGTCGTATGACCGGGCATTGCGAACGTTGCTTAGCTTTAACCACCGTAGACCAAACGCCGTAATCATTACGCCATCGAGCACCTAAAAATATGCTTTGTCGTTATTGGGCATAAAATAATTGAGAAGCTTATAATTGGGTCCTGGCCCAATCTCCCTATTCCATCCATAGGGAAGGCCTGTGACCCAGCAGTGGGGACATTAATAGGCTTCAGATGATAAAATAATCCAAAAACAGACAATAATGGCGTGAGATTAATAAAATAACATAAGTATTTTTCACATTTGTTTAATTTATTATTGGACAATAAAAAACTTAATGATAAAATAAAATAAAAAATTAAATAAATAAATATTTTTTTCTTACGATCACTGTGGTACCGTATAGGTTAATTAATTATTATTAGCCATCATGTGTATTTAAATAAACTATTCTAATAAACTTTCCAATACAGTCAGGCCATCCACACACACACATTTTGTACTTGATATAATATAGTAATAAATTATATCATATTTAATTCAATTAATTTTTTTTTTAAGATATCCATCGGTCATTTTGACAATAATCACATTAAAGATTTTATAATTTAAAATATTACCGTTAACAGTATCCAACTTAATAAGTTTACGATAAGTTAGCTTTCACTCAAGAGATAAAATAATTGATAACTCAACTTTTTTTTAACAAGACAAAGCAATTGGGCACTTTAAAATTTTTCATTGTCATCCTGTCATTAATTGTTGAAAATATTTTGTTTAACGTTTTGTCAATAACCTCTTGAATCTGTTGAAGTCTCTAGAAGTTAGCGAGCCTTTATTCAGCAAATCCTTCAGTTTGTCCGAAACGCTTTTCGTTTTCTTCAAACTGGAAATTTTCTTTGTCACTTTAGATAAAGCTTTTTCGACGGGCGTCTTTTTGCCTAAAATTGGCACTTTCAGTGGCTTCAATGGATTTCTCAAAGACAGTGGGTCTAATGAGCTCCTCAATAATGATGTTCGTGGAAGCTTAGGTATTAAAGGAGGGGGTAGGAATGGTAATAAAGGTATAGGAGGTATGATTGGAGGCAGCGGTAACAAAGGCAAGATGGGTAACTTCGGCAACAGCGGTGGTACAACAGGAGGTAATAGTGGAAGAACTTTGGGTAATCCCAAAGGTGATACTGCTTTTAACAGTGCTCTTGATGGGGAGAATAACTGGTCTATTAAGGGGGGAGGTTTCTCAGGCTTCGGCAATGATAGTGGAGGGAATGGTGGCTTATTCCTGCCGTCTATGTTGATCACTAGAGGAGCGTGGTGATTGATTGTAAACGGTGTTGACCTCAACTTGAGATCTCCAGTTAGTAGCCCGCCGTAAATGGTTGAGATTGAGCAGATCTGAAATGTTTGAAGTATAGGTATAATACACATTCTGTAAGTTTTGCTTCTGTGCGCAATTCAAACATGAATAAACCAGGGCTTGTTTACCGGTTAATTTTCAAACCTAAATCAGTGTCAAGTACATTAGGAGCGTTTTATATAGGTTTGGCTTCTACCTTAACCTTAAAAAAGCCGGTTTTTCTAAAAAGCGAAATCAAATAGGTTTTGAATCAATTTAGCGGTTTTTAACGGGTTTCATTTCGCTCTTACTGACGGCTGAAATATTTACACAACTACAAAATGAATAACTTGACTCACTAGACGCTAGCAAACGTGTCAATAAATGCATCAATCTCTGAGCATTAACAAGTTGTGACTTGATTAGTTCAAACAAAACAAACTTCAAGCGATGCCGACGCGTGCACGTGTCGCTCTGGATTAAACCGGTTTATTAAGGTTTTAGGTACCGCTTTCATTTCGGGCGCGCTCCGAACGAAACCTTTACTAAAAAAATGGTTGCCTGTAAAGTCGGTTTTACGGGCGAAGATTTTACGTGACAACGTCTTTTTCTCGGTAGAATATTTATTGATATGAATATAATTAAATTGCACAATAGGAACAAGGAATTGAATGAAAATAAGAATTGCACAAATTTTAACTATAGAAATATATTTTGTTTACTAAAACATTGTACATGTAAACTTAAACTTAACACGAGAGACTCATCGTAACGTTACCGAGCGTTACACTTTTTCATAAGTGACTCCCAGCCGCAACCTAATTTAAGACGTTGTCACGTCAAAACCGGTATTAACCTTTAACCGACTAAACGTAGTATTTAGAATTTATTTTGTTATTATTTTATATTTCATATCTATGTTAGACTATAAGGTATATATTTCTATGGGCCTAAGATGCCTGAATACAAATAAATAAATAAAAAAAAAAATTAGAGGAATTTTTGAAACCGGTTTCAAGCCCTGGAATAAACAGTTATATTTTTTAAGCATTTAACTGCTAGATGCTAAAATGTAATGATTTTTTTTCTAGAAAAACAAGACACGGCCGTCAGGGCAGCGGAAGTATACTGGTCAGTACATTCGCCCGGATAGCGAAGGGTGCGGGTTCGAGTTCCGTCTGCTGCCTGGTCTGCGTGGAATTTTTTCTAGTAAAATTTTCTTTATGAATAAACATACACTTGTGTTAGTTATGGTATGAACATAGAGAACCTACATAAGGGCGGTATGTTATTCCGTCCACTTATGTTTGTGAAACAACTGTAATAACTTAGATTAAAACAAATGTTATAATCGCTTAGGGACCTCCGCGTTACATAAACTTTTCCAGGCGTGCCTTAAACTCGTTTGCCGGTGTTTCTTCATGAAAAATCGATGCGTATAATTAAGGTCAAATTTATAAAGATAAATATATTTATCAAAGCAATTTTTAATATTTATCAAAAATTGGAAACTGGTGACAAATTGTCCTGTTGAAAATTATGACTTTTGTCAAAGAGAAAATTTTCTACTTAAATTTTATAATTTGAATTTCAGGACATATTGACGATTGTTATACGTAAATAATATTATAATAATAAATACTCATATCACACATTATACTTATCTATAGTAAGTACGTCTATGACTCTTACCTCAATATGAACGAATTTCTCTGCAGGGATTTGAACCCAGAACCTTTGAAACAGAAGGCACTACATCGATGAATAAATATATTCAACACTCGCACCAATAAGTCTATCCACAAAGTAAAGAACTGAAAGGCTTGTGCTTTGAGATACAAGGGTAATATACAGGGATAGAATACATATACTTTACATATATATATATATATTATCTAAAAATATATGTAAACATAGCATGCGCACCTAAGTCAGCACCCCAGTCCATCAAGAAGACTTAGGTGCGAATGCTCGTAACTGGGATTCGAACCCAGGACCCCTGGAGTAGGCGACACCTTGAAACATAACACTCACTCCACAGAGTTTGTTTTGTAATTTTAAATGCGGCTTAATCAACAATCTGTCATTTATGTTACTTACTATTATAATTACACAGTTGGATGCACTGATTATGTTTATTTTTATTAAACCTCCCACCGCCATGTTTACTAACATTCGTACATACAATCATTTCCGTGGTGCTTATATAACTTCAGTGTTTACTGATATAATTGTTACATTATTGTTTTGCTAATTCAACACTTTTACGTAACACAATGACTTGACATTCGATACTGTGTTAGATTATCTGATGGATTTTTGATTAAACAAACAATGGACAATCGTTGCGCCATTATAATCATGATAATTTCAAGTCTGAGCATACTTTTCTTTCGATAGAAATGCATGAGTATAAATTAATAAAATAATATTTTTTTAAATATTTTTTTAATATTTAATAGATACGTTTTATTATTAATGCAAAGAAAATGTTACTTATAGAACTTCCACTCTGGAATGCGTTGTTTTCTAGTCAAATGTTTACTTTCTGAATAAAAAATATAGCTACTTCGCTAGGTTTTCCTTGGACTTTGTTGAATTGCCTAAAATATTTTAAAAAAAGCGCCTAGTGCCAGTCGGACTCGCTAATGTAGGGTGCCGTAGTAGCAAGTAACATAAAAAAGTTCTTGTAGTTCGTTGTAACTTTGATCGATGTTTTAATAATAGTGTATTTTTTTAATTAAATTATATGTTTTTTTTTTATATTTGAGTTGATTGAATGAAAAGTAAATTGCGGTTTACGATTTATGACGTATTAAAAAAACTACTTACTAGATGTGGTTCAAACCAATTTTCGGTGGAAGTTTGCATGGTAATGTACATCATATATTTTTATTGTAGTTTTATCATTCTCTTATTTTAGAAGTAACAGGAGGGGGAAGGGGGGCTTTTTCGTTCTTATAGTTTCGGGAAAAAGTGGTTGTGACATCCGTTTTTTGCCATTTGGCTACGGAAATCTAAAAATGAACAAGATTCTGGCCGCGCTCAATTAGGGATCCGTACTATGATCTCATTCTGTTATTCTTTTCATGTTGTGCAGTTCTAAATCGCTCGTTTTTCTCCGCAGCAAAAAAAATATGTTCAATAACGTCTGGTACGGAAGAAAATTTTGGAAGATTCTAAAGAGTTGTACTATACATCCAATTTGAATAAAAATATATTGTTTTCTTATTTCTGTTGCTTTTTGTAGCTTCCTAATAGCACTAAATTAAGAAAAAGGTCGTTTCCGAGCTAGACATCGAAACAAACCGCCAAAAGAATAGGTGTTTCCAGTATTAATGTTGTTTAAAAGCAACAACACATCGGACATCTTAAACCAAAATTCCTACCAGCAAATGTTTAAAAGATTTCTACTATTTGCAATATAAACGCAACGTGGAATTGAATATGTTAGATATTATATAAAAGCTGCTTGATGATTTCCCTTTTTCAAAAGCTTTTATCTAACTTGGACATTGTAATGTTCGGGTCAAATCTTGTGACTGAATATTAGAACCGTTATCCTAATCTAATCTGATTGAAATGAATTTTTGCTTGGGCGTTAAGTTTTTATAATTGTTATATTTTATGGTTAGCTGTAATCATTGTAAAACCAATATGGTGGACGGCTCACGATGGCACACTAGTAGGTATTCTTATTTGCACTCCCATGATATGGGTATCAAATGAAAGAGTTTGCTGGAAAGAGTTGAATGTCTGTGTTAAATTATCTAAGTTACAGCAATATTCTACGAGTATTATAATTTTAGGTAGGTCATCATTTCATTGCAAAATTAATTTTAAACGATCGTAGAAACAGCATACAGTACCCCTAGCACGAACCAATATCGAATTCGTATCGTTTGCGAGTCCGAAATGTCATTGTCAAATGTGTACTGATTTTTAGTTCTAGTTACGTACTTTGTGCCGCTGCTGTGCAAGTTTCCATACAAAATTTGACATTGACATTTGGGACTCTCAATCGAATCGAATTCGATATTGGTTTATGTTAAGGATACTGGTAAGCAGTCAAATTTGTTTTTCAGAAATCATTTAACACGTTTACAGTACAGGGCAATGGCAGTGGTTCCGCCGAGTACCGTATATGGTACAAGTTACAATAAATAAAAGATAAAATAATTTAACTTAAATTAGGAGTATAAAACAACTGTTTTGAAGATACCGTTTTAAAACTTCTTTTAGTTTTGAAGAATTTTTGAAAGAAACTCCAAAATTTTTAAGTAATAGTAATGATACTTCATCAACACCATCAGCTTACTTATGTCCCCACTGCAGTGGCACAGGCGTTGGATGGAATAGGGAGATTGGGCCATGACCCACCACGCGGGCCTAGTGCGAATTGGTGGATGCTAACCACTGCAGACGCAGCCGGAACCAACGACTTAACGTGCCTTCCGAAGCACGGAGAAGCTAAAGATAGTAAAGTTTTGGTCACCCATCCCATGACCGACCACTGAGAAAGTTGCGTACCTTCAACGATCGCAGCCGAACGCGCTAACCATCTGGGCCATCGAGCTCCTCAGCATGTTACTTCCAAAACGATATATGAGAAAAAAATCTAACAATTTCTCAGATTTCTCATGAACAGTGGCCGAATTCAATAATATTCAAGATGTCTTTAGAGTTCCACCGATAACATCTTAGAATAATCAGCCGCGAAGCAAGGCCGTGTGATCACTGAATCGGCGAAGATTACTTGAGCATATTTAAAATGAATTAAGATTGGTTTCCAGGTCTTTGCCCAATATTCTCCAAACACAGTCAATCCCTTTGTCAACCCTTATGACTTACTGGAAAAGTTAGTAGATAGTTTTATTTTTTGGAAACCAAAACCAAATGCACTAATCAAGATTAATGTCATTGTCGTGGATGGGAATACAGGTTTATTTTGGAATTTTGACTATAAAATGTAACACCGAAACTGTATAAAAAAGGAGTGCAATAAAACAGCTGAATACTTGACATTAATAAACTAAAGAGTTAGCTCACAAATTCATAGAAAAATACATATATATAAAAAGTGTGTATGTGACGGAGGTCTGTCCGTGACAGTCATCTATCTATATATATAAAACTCAAAGGTGACTGACTGACATAGTGATCTATCAACGCACAGCCCAAACCTCTGTACGGATCGTGCTGAAATTTGGCATGCAGGTAGATGTTATGCGTAGGCATCCGTTAAGAAAGATTTTTGATTAATTCTACCCCTGAGGGGATAAAATAGGGAATGAAAGTTTGCATGAAACTTTGTCAATTTTAAACCGATCGGGCTGAGACTTTGCATGCAGGTATAAGAAGAATCATAGATGAATGTCATTGTGTATAATACAAGCCTGAGAACAAAAACTGTAGTCTACACTTCAGCTCTACACCGAAGAGAAGCGAGGGCGGGCCGCTAGTGTTAAAATAAAAACTACATCTGGCCCACCGTAACTACGAACATTTTTGTCAATGCATACCTAATGACACTGTGCCTCGGTGGGAAAATAGTCAATCGACCACCATTAGCTGCATCTCCTTTGGTGTTTATTAACTGGATCACGTATTTATATTCTTCAAACGGAGTTCAAATGTGCTGGGAGCCGCTGGATGCGGATAGAGTAGGACCACGCATTGTGGCGTTCTATGGGGGAGGCCTATGTCCAGCAGTGGACGGAGCAAGGCTGATAGATGGATGGATGGAACGTAGTTTGCCTTTGGTTCAACTGAATGAAACTAAGGTGTTCTGATTTGATTTTAAGGCAAGCGACGAAACGATAGCAAATAAGAAGTTACCTGCGTTTTGACGAATCATCAGACAATAATTGTGCTTGGTAATTTATCGAGCAGACCTGCTCAATTGTATTCTCACCTGATAAAGGCAGTAAAATTTTGTATTTTAATAGGAAAATTAAGCTACTGCGGCCCTGACGGCCGTGTCGAATTTACTCTAGCCTTTCTTAAGCTGCAAGGCAGCGGTATCTCTTCGCATTGTAGGTAACCGACAAATGTCAAATGAATTCCTTTAAAAGTATTAAACATTTGAAAGAAGAAATAGTAGTTAGAAAATATCCACGTGGATCAGGCAGCACACGGGACTCGATCATTTGTTTCTAGTAAAATTTAAATGTTCTTTAGATTTAAACATTTAGCAGTTACATGCTTAGAAATACTAATATAACAAATTTACTAGTTTCTAATTTATTCCTTTGTATTTACCGAACTATCTATCTGGATGCCAAATTGAAACATTCTAGGTCATCTGGAAATGGGTTATAGATTTCAATCTATAGGTCCGTCGTTAGTAAAAATGAGGGTTTTGTGACGTTAATATCTATTCTGTAAAGACACAAAACCTTCAATATGGCGCCGCGCGTGACCCGCGCGTGAAAATTTCACTTAAAAGCACTGCAGGTGTGTTTATGAAATTTAGAGCACATAATTTATCATGCAAGTCTCAATATATGAGCCAAATTGGACATGTATTTGTGAAATAGTTTTCGAGTTATGAGGGGAACAAAAGTGGCTCTAAATGGTGCGTATAACGGTTAACACGCGGTGCTGCTCGCCAGTTCTGTACCCCTAGCACGAACCATTATCGAATTCGAATAGTTTGCAAACCGAAATGTCAATATCAAATTTTGTATGGAAACTTGAACAGCAGCGGCACAAAGTACGTAACGAGAAGTAAAAATCAGTACACATTTGACAATGACATTTCGGACTCGCAAACGATACGAATTCGATATTGGTTCGTGCTAGGGGTACTGTTACCTTGAACTTGGCTTGACACGTTACCACGTATCTAGATACCAACCTATGTTAAAAGCCCTTGATGATCATCAGCCAATTAATGCTCCCACTGCTGGGGTACAGGCCTTCCCTATGGACTGCAGATGCAGCCGGGACCAACGGCTTAAACGTGCCTTCCAAATAACGGAGGAGCTCGAGATAGTAAACTTTTGGTCACCCATCCAATAACCGACCACTACGAAAGTTGCTTAACTTCGCAGCGGAACGCGCTAACCACTTGCGCCATCGAGCTCCTCAGTATACCCTGCTGATTCAAAAAGAGATGTACCTCAGGGTGCAAAGCCATGTATGTCTGAAATCGGTACACT